CCTTGTTTGTTGAAAACTTCAAGAACCCCACTCTTTTGTAATATACTTATATAAGGTTTGTCGATTTTTACAATAGAGAACTCAAAATAAATATAAAAAAGAAACTACTTGGAATGTTAGTATCCAAAGCTAGCCTTGAGGCAATTTAATTTATATTGTACAAATGAGTACTATTTAAAAAAACTAGAACCATGTCAACCAATGTAACAAATTATTTAATCACTTTGATCAATGTGATCTTCGCCAATTATGATTTCATTAAGGCGGTGCATTTGTAATTTCAAATAAACTATGGTATATTAATAATTTAGCAGAATAACCTCCTATATGATAGTTTAGGTGGTAGAGTATCGAGGTTGATATGATATACTCTTGGATTCTCACATACCATTTTGAAGACCCGTTTTTTTTTTATTGTTTATATGCTCAGATGGCATGTTTTCATAAGTTTGTTTTGAAAACATTTTACATGCTACCAAAACGAGGTATGTGAGAAGAGAAACAAATCTTCATAAATTTATTGGGTACTCACAAAAACGAGTATATATCGTCCAAATATTTGCCTATCAATAAAGTTCACCTTGATGAATTTTTTTTTGATGAATCGGATTGTAATTAGTTATTAATTTCAACCTTTTGAATAGCCTTTATGATGTGCAAAGAAAGTCCAAACCATCAATAAATTACAAAAGCAACCAAAAAGTCACTTTTCCTTCCTTCCTCTCTCCCCTCCATCCTCCATTTTACCACCACCACAAAGGACCATTCCCCTCCTATAAAAAGAGAGGGGCACCAAACCAAACCCCCAACCAACCCAAAAAACAAACATTAAACCTCTCTCTCTCTCTCTCTCTCTCTCTCTCTCTCTCTCTCTCCCTCCACCTCTTCAAACCTCCTTCTCATCTCCCACTTCCTCCTCAACCATGGTGATGCAAACCAGCCTGAGAGAATCCATGAACGCCAGAAGCATCGGCTCCCCGAACTGCGGGGAGACGATGGTTCTGGCCCACGGGTACGGGGCGGACCAGTCTGCTTGGGACGACGTCCTCCCCGGTCTCGCGGCCCACTACCGGGTCGTGGTCTTCGACTGGAGCTTCTCCGGCGCCGTGAAGGACCCGAACTTCTTCGACCCGGACAGGTACGCCACGTACGAGGGCTTCGCCAGCGACCTGGTTGGGCTCATCGACGAGATGGGCCTGGAATCCGTCGTCTTCGTGGGCCACTCCATGTCCGGGATGGTCGGATGCATTGCTTCTGTCAAACGGCCCGAGCTCTTCAGCCGCCTGGTGCTCGTCGGCGCTTCTCCTAGGTACCCATAATAGTAAACATATTCCGCTTTGGTACCCAAACTGTTTTTTTAATATTTATTCGTTTCGTTTTTTCGCCCTTCTCCTTTCTCGTTTAGAATAATAACAAAAGTGGGGAAAAGTGGATTTTTGGCCATGTTTGGTTTTGATGTTTATCCTTTTTATTTATATGTATAACTGTATAAGCCTTTTTTCTGGTCCATAAATAATTGAATTTTGTCTTGTGTTAGTGTGTGTGAAAAAGATCCATTTCGGCCACAAAATTTAACTGATTTTCTCATCTAATATGGGTTTTATGAAATATTAAGAAAAGAATGTACATGACATTTTTTTATTAGTGATAATTACCTAAATATTTAATTCATGGATGGTATCGATGGGTTGCATATTATTCATCATGATTATAAAATTTTTTTTTGTTAACTATGGTAGGGCAGTCACTGGCCTACTGCTTTTATTAGTGTCATAAAAGGGTGAGCACACAAGATTAGAAAAAATAAAATAAAATAAAAAATTGAAAATAATTATATGTAATATTACTTGTAAATTTTTTAATAATTGGTATGATTTTATCTCCTTCTCAATTATCATTGCTCAAATCCGTACCTGAACTTAGAATCCTATGTAAACTTTTTCTTAGTTTGCTGGATTCTTCTTCTTCCCTATAATTAATGAGCCATAGCCGAACAAATTTGGAAGTTGCTCTGGCCATTTAGCTGATCTCTCTACCATGCTGAGCATTGGCCTGGTTTTCTTTAACAAATTAACGCCGGCTTGAGGTGTTATCGTTATCACGTCCATCTCTTCTGTCTTACTCTTTGTTTGTAATTAGACAGCATATTACAAGATCCAATATCAAACGATACATGCCCATAAAAAATACAGCATGTGGGAGAAACATTTACATTATTACGGTGGCTTAAGTGCTATTAATGAAAACAATATTGTTTTTTTATTTTTTATCATCGTTTAAAGTTTGAAAAGACTAAAAAATAATTTCGTACTGAATTACAACAACCTCACCGTAGCACGCTAATGAGGTTTAGATAACGGTGATTTGACATCGTAGGATTGTGTAACTCGTAAGTTTAATCGAAACGATAATCTCTTATAAACACATCAAAAAGTTATTGACGAGGGAAAGATTACCTTTTTGGGATAGATTGGTATCTAACAATTTATTAATTTCATGTTGGTTTAAGAAATTTTCAATAAAATCTGGAAATGGTGGAAAACTTATAGTGACGAATTATAATTTATTGTGACCAGATACATGAACAGCGACGACTACGAAGGAGGCTTCGGGCAGTCGGACATCGAGGACCTAATGAACAACATCGAGACCAACTTCCCCAACTGGGCCCAGGCCTTCGCCGCGATGGTCGTCGGCGGGGACCAGCCATCCACCGCCGTCGAGAAGTTCGCCGGGTCCCTGCGGCGGATCAGGCCGGAGGTGGCGCTGGCCGTCGCCAAAACTGTCTTTTACTGTGACTATAGGGAGCTGTTGGGAAAGGTCTCGACTCCGACCACCATCGTGCAAACGACACGTGACGTGGCAGTGCCGACGTCGGTGGCTTACTTTATCCAGGAGAAGATCAGGGGGAAATCGACGGTGGAGATCGTTGATACTGACGGCCATTTCCCTCATCTGACCGCACCGAATGAGTTGCTCGATGTGCTTGGTGGAGTTCTTGGGTTTGAAGCTAATTGACAAAAGGATTGGATCAGAATGTTCATTATACAATAAAAAGTTATATATATGTTATGTTTAATTATACTAGCTAGCTGGGTTGTTTTTTTTTTTTTTGGTTTTTGGTTTTGGGGTGTGTTTGGTTGGTTGTGGGTTCTGTTGTTAATTACTTATTAGGGTTTTTTTTTTTTTTTTATAAATAGAGAGCAAGGTATGGGTGATGTATTAGATAAATAATGATCCATCCTAGGAGATTGTTTGTAGAATTACATGGGTAATTATTTGGGATCACTTGATTACCATTGGATTTTAGAGAGGGAGATTGTGTTTGGTTTTGGATTTGATGTTGTGGGTTTGATATGTAGAAATGTTTGGTTTTAGAGAGGGAGATTATAATTCCTACAACTATGAAAATGAATTTCATTTTTAACCATAATAAATGATGTATTATGTTTTTATTTTTATTTTGGGAAATGAAATATGAGTGAGAGAGAAAGAGAGTAAAATGATAGTGGGTCAATAAAATAATAAAAAGTATTGATGGGTCCCACTAATTTCATCTTCATTCTCTCAATTCCTATCACTTTTGATAGGAATTGTAATTCTCAAATTTTGGACCTAATGGAATTCAATTCTCAACCTTTTAATTATTCCAAACATAATATATGGAAATGGAAATGGAATTCCAATTCCTTAGTTTTTTGTAAATCCAAACAGGCTGTTCAAGATAATTCATAATCTGGACAGAGTCCTTCAGGAAGGTATCTATTGGTTATTTTCTTATTTAACTTCATTACGAGTCCCTTTACTCTCCGTTGGTTTAACGATACTACTTTTTGTAGCACAAAAAACTCTATCCTACATAATTTAATTATTGATCGACTATTACGTCTAAATATGTTGCTTCTTATGACTTTGATTTCGATTAAAAAAGGAAAAAAAAAAAACAAACAAACAAACAAGGAAATAATAGCTTGCTCTGTTTTCTGCCATGCTCTCATGCTTATCCGGACTGGTATACGTTCCCTTCGAAGTAATGAATAATCAGAAGAAAAAAAAAAAAAAACACAGCACTACTGTTATAGCTAACTCAATGAAGTTGCGTAAGAACTTTTTGAGAATGAAGACAAATCGCCCCTTCTGGATATCAAAAGGACGACATGAATGAACCCAACGACCCAGCGAACGTGAGCAGATATATACTATTGTGCTGCCCCAAAAGCCGACGAAGATTCCAGCAAATTACGTAACAGCAAAAAGTAGATGACAGCAACGTTATGGTAAGTAATTAAGTAAGTGAAGTACATATAATATATAGTAGTGGAAAGTGGTTCCCTAACTACTCCATTACGCACTCGTGAATTGTATACAGTATTACTTGTACTTGTGTAACAATGACGCCAATTAATTGGACTCATATTATTATTATTATTATATATACTATAGTGAGTGTTGCATCTACACCGACGACGATCGTTTTGTTATCAAAGTTAAACACCTGAACGAGGGGCTGACTTGAATTATGGTATTGAGAGAGGAATGGGCTAAAGTCTTATCAACTATTTTAATCTCTAAATTTATACCAAATTTACATGTAATTTTTCATATATTTCAAACTAGCGACCTATTATAGCTTTGAGCCAACCCTTTCTTAAAGTTTCCAACATTTTTTCCGTTGATCGTTGATCCAATGCTCAAAATCAAAATATGATAAATATTCACATCCTCACAATTGCATTGATTAAGTATCAACCCTGAACTCGAACCCTAAATCCAGAATTATTCAGTAAAAAAAGGCTTCTGTCTCCATTCGGACTTAAGCCCAATAATTTCGCTCTCTTTCTACATGCGGCCCAAAATCCACACTAATTGCATCTTTCTAATATTTTACGAGGCCCATCTTTTCTCTCATCACTAAACTGGGACACGCTGTGACGTTTCAACTCTCTCTCCTCCACTCCGTCTCTCCCTTCTGTGATCTGTCCCCCACTTTCACTGTCTACTAAAAATTTCCGTGACTGAATAAAAGCGAAAGGTAAAAAAAAGGAAAAGAAATGAAGAGCATCTTCTTCTCGGCATCACAGCTCCTCTCAAGATCAGCGGTTCTCTTCGTCACAGCTCGCTCCCCTGCTTCCCCGTCGCGACACGTTTCACTCCGGCTCTCCCTCTCCTGCAACTCCGCCTCTCTTTTCCCCGCCCAAAGCTTTGCGACCATGGCGGCGTCGGCTGCCGACGAATTCGTCAAGGGGAACATCCATCCCAACGGCGTCGCTGTCATCACTCTCGACCGTCCCAAAGCTCTCAACGCCATGAACCTAGGTAATCCGATTTCTTCTCTCACTCTCTGTCATCTCTTTCGCTCGCGTTGAACTAGTTGTTTTCTGATCACCAATTGACTGGACTGTGAAGAGTCGAATTGATCCAGTTTTGATGTCGATGAGCTTGCTTAGGTCGAGTTTTAATTGTGTAGCTCTTTCGTCGTACAGATATGGACATTAGATACAAGAGTTTCCTTGATGAATGGGAGGCGGATCCGAACGTGAAGTGCGTGCTAGTGGAAGGCAGCACTCCTCGCGCTTTCTGTGCAGGTAAATGATAGGGGATTGATTGTACAGTGTGGTTAAACTCTACTTCGTTCGATCCATGTCTATACCGAAAGCGGCATTTGTCTAGACTCCTTGTGATTGTGAATTTATGCAGGGTATTAGTGAATTTGAGAATCTGAGTTACAGTTCAGTTCAGTCTCGTAATCTCATTTTCTTGTATGTTGGGGGATGATTTTGAGGGTGGCAATGTATGATAACTGCAGGAATGGATATTAAAGGGGTTGTTGCTGAAATTCGCCAGGACAAAAATACGCCTCTTGTGCAGAAGGTGCTTTATGCACTTTAGAGCTACCATTTCTTTCTGTTTCATTTCTGTTTGCGTGGTTGTGTTGTGAGCTATTACGAGCTTCGTTTTGTTTCTGATTGTGTTGCCTTTTTCTGGTTTTGTTGTTGGTTCATGGTTTTTAGCATTCGTTTTAGTGGATTCAAGTACAAAGATAGTAGTTTATTTGCAGGTGGTGATGTGAAGACTATTACAACAAAAAAACAACTCTCCGACGTGATTGAGGTCTTGTTGTGTTCTTCCTGTTACTTTAAATTAAGGCTTGGCTAGATTTGGCTGTCTCGCCAATTGTGGAGTATGACACTTATGTCTCACTAATTCTGATTCATCTGGTCAATCTTTTCAATAATGTAGAGGATGTTGTTGGCACCAGTTAGTCTTGTCATGAATGAATAATGTGTGAAAACCATTTGCCAGACCCGACGCATCTGGTCAAGTATTATGGATCCATCTGTATTCCAACTTTTGAGTAAACTGTGGATTTGTTTACTTGTAAACTTTCAGTTTTTGCTGTCATGGCTGCACATGCTTCAATGGCATTTTCTTTCAGGTGTTCACTGCAGAATACTCTCTGATATGCAAAATCGCTGCATATAAGAAACCATATATAGCTCTTATGGATGGGATAACAATGGGGTTTGGACTAGGTCTATCTGGCCATGGTCGCTACCGAATTATAACAGAGGTACTATTTCCCTTTAAGAAATAGGCCACTGGTATTATGACATTGAGAATGATTTCTGACTCCTTTTCTGATATTCTGAATTCACAGAAGACGCTTCTAGCTATGCCGGAAAATGGAATTGGCCTGTTTCCTGATGTAGGGTTTTCATACATAGCAGCACAAAGCCCAGGAGAAGGATCAGTTGGTACGGTTCCTTTTTGTGTTGTTCCATCCCCCTTTGTTTTCAACCATATCACTAGATTTGACCGGTATCTGATTATTCCAGGAGCTTATCTTGGATTGACTGGGAAGAGGATTTCTACTCCCTCCGATGCACTATTTGTAGGCCTCGGGACACACTATGTCCCATCTGGAAACTTAGGATCATTGAAGGAGGAGCTTTTGGCTGCTAACTTGTACGTTGCATACTATCCTGATTGGCTTACTATGTAACCAAATTAATGAGTTTTCTTTTGATTTTCCAGTGATACTCATATTCAAGACAGTTGAGTCTTTACAATTGTAGTGCTTGGAGAATCAGCTCATCTTATGCAAAATGCTTGGCTCTGGTTATACTTGCGTTGTGCTCTCCGATATCAGTGTCTTGTATTGAAAAGCTTGTGCATGTGGTTTATGTAGTTCCCAAGATCCACATCATGATGTCAAAGGACTTATAGGGAAGTACAAGCATGACCCTGAGACAGAGGCCCCGTTAAAGTTACTCTTGCCTCGAATCATCTCTACATTTGGTGGACATAAGTCGTTAAAGGAGATTATTGAGGAGCTGAAACAGCATAAACAGAGTGCCGATACTAAAGGTTACCTTGTTCATCCTTGTGTCCCGATAAATGTCTGTGTTTCCCTCTTCTGCTGCAAGTTTTTTTAGACTGATTTCAACATTGCTTCTGTCAGTGGCAGAGTGGGCCACCGAAGCTCTTCAGGGTCTTGAAAAGGGTGCTCCATTTTCTCTTTGCCTGACACAAAGCTACTTCTCCAAAGTTGCATCCGCCTATGGAAGAACCTCCAATGAATTATCAACAGTGAGCTCCTTTTCTCCTTGTTTGATCCGCTGAATTGAGCTTGGTAATGTTGTATGGCTGCAACACTCTGATATCTTTGATCTCGTGGATCCAGCTAACTGGAGTAATGAGAACCGAGTATCGCATTGCCTTGAGGTCTTCTCTGCGCAATGATTTCGCTGAAGGTGTCAGAGCAGTATTGGTGGACAAAGATCAGGTTAGTATGCCACATTGCTTATGATATTTGAGTTAATATTATCCGGTTCTTGCCCTTGCATCTTTAAAACCACTGCAATATACCCACTCATCAGTTGCGAATGGGTCCGAACTGATTGCAGAACCCCAAATGGGAGCCACCAAGCCTGGAAGAAGTTGATCATAATGAAGTGGAATCTCTGTTTAAGCCATTGGGTTCAGAAACTCCAGAGCTGGAAGTGTAAGTCCTGCCAACAAAGCATAGTGATGTTCGCTCCCGACTCTTCGGGCATCAGTGTCAGGTGTACTTGCGTTCTGAAGGACAGTACAATGTGACATCCATCTGTTGTAATAAATCCTCCACGCTTTATCCACCTTCTAGCATTGTGCTTATGATATGCCCATGTTTCGTCTAACATCGAACGAGTGTGAACTCGTCCCATTACTTCTTTTGGTGATTTTCTATGTTTTCCTCGCGTCGAAATCCAGCTTTCAATCCCTTTAAAGAGAGCTGGTAAATCCGCACAAGCAGGGCTTCGTATATAAGTTGGCACTATGGTTAAACACAAGGTATTTGAATTTTTGTTCCATGAACAAAATGTACATGAATTAACAAGCCAAACCAGTTTAACATTGGTTCTGCGAAACCAGTGAAAGCCAAACACTCTTAACAGTCTACACTAACATGAGACACTTATCAAACAACACTCATAAACCGAAGCCATAAATTCAGAAGACGCTTCGTTATGGTTATCTTCAACCTGGGTTCATTTCCCTGCGTTCATGTGAGGAGACTTCCTTCTGCTGGCTAGTTTAGCAAGTCTGCAACAACCTGAGTTCATTTCCTACATGAGATTCTATCGCAGCAAGAGACCCATACCAAATAGCACATTGTCGACTGAAATGCAGAACCCTTTCAGTACAGGTGAAACTAGATGTTCTTCAGGAGCGTACGTAGACGAAATAGACCTCCTCTACGAGCAATGATCACCACTCCGAAACAGGTCCAAGTACCCCCTGGCTTTCACTCATTGCAACAATTAATTAAGAAATGAGACACCTAATACATGGTTGAATACTTACTTCTTGTCCCGAGTTGCTGGTGACAACATTTGACATATAACCTTGATTTCACAACATATGACCCATGTAGCTAGCTTTATGGACACTTGTAGAAGTAGCCAATGACATTTGGCCCCAAAGAAATTCTTTGCATGTCATCTCTAATGATAATAAAGAAGCGCATATAATGATGATCCATTCTCAAAATGGCGGAAGTTTATTAGACATAGCATTATAAGAATCATATGGATCGCACCCCATCAGAACGTACCCCATGCATAACAAAGAAATAATGATGCTTAATTTAAGACTTCATTTCAAAAGTAAACAAAGTACACAAATGAGAATAGTTCAACCATATATATATTAAAAGAGATTTAAATAGTTCAACCGACATCCTGACTGACCATAAATATTAAAAGAGAATAAAATACTGACACCGACATCTTGGCCGACTGATTGAGTAAAATCCTCATATGAAAAATGAAAGACAAACCCCATGATAGGGAACCGACTTCTAAAATTATTTTGAAATAATTCTTTTATTTACTCCTCATCGTCTCCACGTTTTCTACTTTGCTGCTTGTTTTCAGTTCCTACGACATCGACAACATCAGCACGTCCATCCATTGTAGTTGGTTTGTCGTCGTTGGTGTCACATTATTCTCCATTAAATGTTGACGCCTCCTCTTGCATTTTAGGAGTTTCTTCCATATTTTTCTGCATTAAATGTTGACAATTCGACGTTAGCTGGACATACCTCGATCAATTCAGGCAGATCATTTGAATTGTTGTTTTTCTCATCCTTCCCTATCTTGATAATTATGTATTCACTTGTAGGGTTAGCGATGTTGTAATCAGTGAGCTTGATGAAGAACTTCAACGTCATTCATTCAATTTTTTAGGCGATGAGTCGGTGGTGGTCCTCTCTTTTGTTCGTTGTCTTGGAATAGTTTTTTTTGGATATATGCCAAAAAATTGATCGGCAACTTCATCCATAATAACAAAGTCAGCTTCAGTTGTTTTGTCCGCAACTTGGAGGTGGATCCTGAATCTATGATTGTAAAGAAGAACAAAAATCTTGAGTGGTTAGCAGAAAATTTAACCATTGAATTAATATATTGAAATTGTGGCGTAAACTAATACCGATGGGGAGGCCAAATGGGAGCATTAGATAAACATAACATCAAATGGAATGAATCTCAACATTTTGTAATCTATCAGCCATCATTTATAATGTATAATTACTCATGTTTTTTTTTAAACCTTTGAGTCAATGACTATCATATCGAGGTGAAGAACAACATTGATATTGGGATTGATTGTCAGCCACTTCCTTGAAATGCGACATTGGATAGTCCAGTTTCTCTTTTGAGTTGTCAAATCGGATATCAGTTGGAATTGCATATTGACTAAAATGTCATGAAACATAAGTCAATAAATTAATTTCGATTCACATGGAACATTAGTGTACATAAAAAACCGAGATTACACCCTTTCTAAAATAAGTTGTTGAGATTATATAATCATGTATTTTCCCTAGGTAGTAAAGGTGCTAAAGTAAATTTTAAAGTATGATTGAATAATTGCAGGAGGTTAGGAACGTTGGGGCGAATCTATAAGATATATGATGGAGATTCATGACTCAACTTTCTTCCATTTCAAATTTTCTGCAACGAGAGTGAAAGTAGGAAGGGTACTTTCGTCATTGCAATTGTTTATTTTTTTATTTGAAAAAAATATCAGTGTCAAGATTTGAACCCGAGTCTCTTCTAACAAGGACAAGAGTCATAACCAATAAGACTAAACAAATTTGTTGCATTTATTTATAAAAAAAACATACAAGAGGCAAAATTCTGAAAATCAAATGACTTTTCCAGCACAGTTAGCTACCCCACTAAGTCTTTCTTAAGCATTTTTAGTGTTGGATCTTTGATTATCATTTATTATTTTATTTTGACTTCAATAATAATGGTAGTCTATCTTATAAATGGAGGATAATCTTAAAACCGCAATCCAAATATCATTTATTCGAATATTGCATATCAAATTACAATATTAAATATATATGTGCACACACAACCACATATATATGGGTCAGACTGGTGTACTCCTGGAGTATATTATACTTCAGGTACTCTTCGTGAGATATCTCTATCTAGACCATGATTTTTAACCGAGTTTGGGGTATGATACTCTACCCTAACCTCTAATGGATAAACCCCAGGCCCCGATTCTCTAAACTCAAACCCAAAGTTTAATTTAATGGAAAATTATAATTGACCATTGAGATTGATTGGAGCTCAACAAAGTACATCTAATGTCTAGATCATGTGGAGTATACTATACTCTTGGAGTATACCAGTATACTATACTCCTGTAGTATACCAGTATGTGTGTGTGTAGTGTTTTCTATCATATTTTGAGTAAAATCAAAAGGTAACTCATACCCTTGGTAAGAAATGGCAATCTAGACTTTGAATTAACCTGATTTCGAGACGAGACACTATATTCTAACCCTTGACGAGTGAACTCTAGGTCTTAACTATTTAAATCATAGATCCTAAACTAAGGATTATAAAACCTCATCAGAGGTTGTACCGAAAAAGTCGGCAAGAGGGTATTTTATGCGAAAACTGTGGTTAACCGTGATTCAGTCGTTTCACAACACTACATAGTGCCTACTGGTTTAGTCGAACCCCCGGTACGTTAAGGGTTTTCAATCCTTGCCCTAAACACTAAGATTATGCACATAATTTTTTTGATGTATTTTGATGAAACACGACCTTCGATTATTGTTTCTAATAAAATTGATCTTAGTATATGAGCTTCATAGAATTAAGACCTAGATTTTAATCTGTAAGGGCTTAAGGTATAGTACCATGTCCCTAGCTCCGGCCACTAGACATCATTTTCATATTCAGAGTATATCATTCAAGGTCTATATATCATTTCCTTATGTAATTTTCTTAATCAAAATATGATAGAACCACCCATACTTATAGTTGTGTTATCCTGCTGGAAAGTCATTTGTTCTAAATGTTAGTTGGTTGGACTGCAGTTTTATCAGGGTTGTATGTTGTTTGAAACATTTTGAACTTCATTAGTCCAATATTTTTAGTACTCCTATATTATTTAGGGATAATATCCTATTTTGTGTTGAACTTTGATGTAAACAACAATTTTGGCATGAACATTCAAATAAGATAGTTTTGTCCGAATTTGAAAGAAATTAACAAATTTGACCCGAAATTTGGGTCGGTTATTAATATTGAGGGTCAAACATTTCTTTTTTTTATGACTCAACATACAATGTTAAGGTGACTGTGGTGTGACTTTCACGTCATAGGTATAATATGCTATTTTGCCCTACACTTTCAAATAAGACAGTTTTGTACGAATTTTCAAAGAAATGAATAACTTTGACCCAAAATTTAGGTTGCCGTTAATATTGATGAGAGGGGTACAAAGAGAGATAGTTTCGTGCTTTGGGATTTTTGGGGGCCTGAATCAATTTCTTTTTCCTTTTAATATGATTTATGCAAGTAAATATGAAAATATTAGGATATACTAAGGGTCCTATTTTGTGGTATTTTTTTCTTCTGAAAAATTCACTTTTTTAGACTTTATAAATAAATGACTTGGAAGCCACATCGCAACCGAAACCTCTCTATCACAACTGTCAATATTAAAGGTCAACCCAAATTTCGGACCAAATTTGTTCATTTCTTTCAAAGTGCAAACAAACCTATCTTATTTGAAAATTCGAGCCAAAATTGTTTTTTACATCAAGTTCATGCCAAAATAAGGTATCATCCCTATGACATGGAAGCCACATCGCAATCGCAACCACCTGAGCATTGTATGTTGAATGGATGAAGAAATTTTTAACTTTTAATATTAACGAACAACATAAATTTCAGTCCAAATTTGTCCATTTCTTTCAAAATTTTGAAAACTGTCTTATTTGCAAGTTCATGTCAAGTTTGGCTTTTACGACAAACTTCAAGGTCAAAATAAGGTATATCCCTATTATTTATGGTCAACTTACCAATCAAAGTAGTCAGTGAAAGTATCAGCAACACTGACAAAGACAAACATATGTAATTCAAAATTAGTTGCACTCAGCCTTAAGTTTGAAGCTCTCTTGAGAACCCGGACTATTTTCTAGGCATCTTCGGGGACTACGACTAGCATGCTTCCAAACCAGCTGATCCTTATTCTACTTTCTATGAAGAGGAATAATATGGGTGTATCTGTTAGACATTAATTAGGGTTACAAATGATCTCATTCCTAAAATCTGTTAGAGACCAATCTTTTTCTTTCCTTCTGAGGGTTCATTATGTATGTTTTAGGAAAAACAACTCTAATCTTGAACTATTTGCCATTTTTAAGTATTGAAAACCTATTATTTTGTATGTTTTTCTTTTCTTCTTTGAACAATTACATTTCTTTTTTCAGTGATATGTCGTATCTTCCTATTATATTGTAAGCATGTTATATGAAC